GAAAGTTCGCCCGTCCTGGCTCTGCTCAACCAGAGCTTCATCAGCACCTGGTCTCTCGTCAAAGAGCTGGAGAACATGCAGGTGAGCATTTAAAAGCTGGAAAAAACTCAAATACACACTAGTTTAGTGGGAAACAGACAGTTTACCTTATGTGTGCATTAACATGAGTTTCCTGTGTTTTTCTTTTATTCACCTGGCTGAGGAGTGGAACCCCGCACTGAGTGAAAAGGCTCGCTTACACCTGGAAAAGTACAATTTTCCCGTGGAGATGATGCTGGCTCTTCCCAACGGAACCATTGTAAATAATTTCATAATCAAGTTATCAACGCAAACTGCTGTAAAGCGCACACAAGACTTTTGTTTGCATGAAAATCCCAAGGATTCTCGTCTTACATTTTCTAACACTTGCTGTAGATTATCCTCTCAGATACCTTTTTCTATTGAAAATGATTCCTTTTTCTTCAAAGTGCTTTATAAATGTGAATGCATTATCACTATTTTAAGGAAGGAATTGGCTGTAAAGGCTCTCTCGTCTCTTTTTTAGGTTCACCACATCAATGCTAACTACTTTCTAGACCAAACAGCTATCAAGCCTGAGGAGGAGGAAGCCACTTTCAGCTTTTCTAGTGGATTTGAGGACCCTTCCACATCTATTTACATTAGCTTCCTTAAAGACGGGCTGGAGAAAGCTAAGGAATACATGGCACAGTAATGTGTGTGTTTGTGTGTGTGATAGAGCCTGAGTCTCTCAGCCTCAGGAAGTCATAATCATGCCTCTTGGTAATGATGTATGATAAGGAAAACCCACCAACAATTATGTAGAGAAGCCTTCTCATCTGTGTTGGCAGCTGGAAAACATTTTTGCCTTCTATCCTCTTTGTTACTATTTATTTAAAACTCCCTCCTGGTCAAACTGAGGTTTTATAAACTGTTTTTGTATTTGGATTGCTACTTGTAAATGATCCACTACGAATGCCTTGCACACTGAGCAGTAACAAAGACATAAACACACTTAGACCTGCTCTTTCTGCTTGTAGCTGCCTATCAATGTGATGAAAAAAGTCAGTCTAGAGTGCAAGGTAAACCTTAGATCATCACAACACAGCATGCAGTATTTTTGCTCTCAGTTGCGGTCAGAGTGAGGCTTCCTGCTGCTGCGTCCCCTGGGCCGGACCAGCCGCTGTCACTCCCTCCAGCTGGGCTTTTGCAGTTGGTGAAGACTTCGCCTGAAAGCTCTCTCGGAGCCGGGTGTCGCCTGATGTTGTTGCAGATGTCAGCGGAGGGAACGCCCTTCTCTGACCCGGGCGACAAAAGCAGCAGGAAGCAGCGGAACTGGATGTGGCACATAAGGTTTCACTTGGTACTTTTTCTCATAGTTGGAGTTTGAAAAATGATGTCGGAATGTTTAGCCTTTTTTGTTTTGTTTTGTTTTGTTTAATTTTGTTCAGGAGAAAATGTGACTACACCAAAGACCACTGTTGTTTGATATTACAGGCAGAAACATTCGTTATCATTGGCTCCAACTTGTTTTATACTTATGAAAACATGACATTAAAATTGTTTGATATTATAGCTTAGAGACAATGCAATGTGTTCTGATTGGGCGTCAGTAGTTAGGAAAGAGGATGTACTTGATATTTAATGGAAAATGAAGATATTGGACTCTCATCTCATGTCAGTTATACTTTTTGTTAAGTCAGTAATTCATTTTTGAGAATGACACAAGAAGTCAGATAGTTTCTCTTGAGTTTTGCACTTTTATGTGGTCTGCCTATCTACAGCCTTCATAGGAACAACACTGTAATTCTGACCCGTCAGTGCCATTTTATTCCCACCAAATAAAAGCTTCTTGTGTTATTC